TTAAATGATCAAGCTATTAAGACACGTGTACTTAAATGGACATTTGGTGTTGAAGTGGCACACGAATGGGTAAAGGGTAAAGACAAGAAAAAACGGCGGACGCCAGAAGGTCTTGTGTATACATTTGAAATGTTAGCGCAGCGTGGAACAAGGGTCGACGTCAACAAGAAATTTTCAAAAACTTTTTATCCTGTACGACCAAATCAAGTGGCAATTGCATTCAAAATTTTCACCACAAAAGCTCTCAGTGGAAAATATTGTGACGGAATGAAGCATATTGGAACCTTGAAAGTCTCCATTGATGGGACCAATTGTCCAATTGAATTTTCTTTGACTTTCGGTAAAATGGAATTTACAGCAACAGCTATTAACAAAAAAACAAAACAAGTTTATCCAGATGCAACTTTTGAGCTTGAAGTTTCATAGAATTTTATCATTTACTCTTTTACCATTACTGTATTCATTTTTTTATCTTACTTACTGTAATATGAAATCTCGACAATAAATGCATATCACATAGGGAAATAAAATGATGTACTATATGCTTATCTTTGTACCATACATATGAGTCGTACATTTTCAGCCCCAAAATATCATTCCATTTTTAGTTTCATGTTTTTCCTATCCAACACGGAGGTACTAAGAAAAAAAAACCCCTTTTATAGACACCTCAAACTTAATCTCAAAGTAGGATGACAAAATCGTGTCTGTATTGCGGTGAAAAAGAATCTGATCTTGATCCCGATGGTGACTTTCCTAGTGAATATTGCAGCGATGAGTGTCGCTTCAAATCACTGAATTCCGGACTTACTCTGCCATGCGAACTTTGCAAAGCATTTCCAAAAGTAAAGTATAGTAAATATTGCGGATTGACAAGATGTCGAAAAGAGAATTTATGCATTATGTGCAAGGTAAGCGTGAGTCTATTCAACTTGCTGATAATGACTTGTGAAAAATAATGCTTTTTACAAAATTTGTTTATAACAGAAAAACGTTGTAACGAGGAGAGATTCATTTTGGTGTTCTAAAAGTTGTAGAAATAATACAAAAAA